TACTTGAGGTAACAAGTTGTTTTTGCGTTCTAAAACAAAAAGGCAGCAGATGAGAGTGATGAAGAGCTGGATGATGAGGCTATGATGGCTCTTGACAAGAACATCTCAGCCCTTTTTGCAGAGCAGCAGAAACGCGTCCAGGCAAAGAAGGATGAGAAGGACAGGATTCGGAAGGAGAAGATCCTACGGAGGGATTTCAAGATCAAGGTGGGAGATACGTGTTTGGTCTGAAGACCTCTGGCTTACTAGCACATTAGTGGAAGCCTACTGCATGCCGTGAGCTACTTAACACTGAAAAGCTTGGGCATTCATGTATGTGATAAGCTTCTAGAGGTTGGGACTGGATTGTTCTGGCTTTGTACAGCATGTGGCACAGCGGTATTGTGGTCAGTTACTGAGGCCTCATAGGCCTGCTTGAAAACAAAAAACGACTGTGCTTTCAGAAAGTGAACTGTGGTTTCCATTTGTTGATTTGAAATGCTTCAATTTATTAGATCCTTTCCCATGTCTACCCAAAGGTAGGTGCCTGTGCCTTAGTGTGACATGCATAAAATCCCTCTGGTAGTTTTGCAGTGTAAGCTTATTTTTGCTTGTTATGATAGTAAAATCAGGAGGATTATGATTAATACCCCTGTTTATTGCTGTAATACTGACTTCAGGCCACCTGGTGTCAGCATGGACTCTCAGTATATTTGGGCATCTAGGGACAGTTGCAACCACTCATGTATAGAAATGTGGTGTCAGATGGGCTAAGGCCGAACAGGGTAGTGAGCCACTGGCTTTACTACATTTTCATTCTGATGCTTTGCTAGAAGAGCTTGATCTTATGCTAATACACTGTTTGGAACTCAAGTGGGGCACCACTCATATATAGAAATGTGGTGTCAAATGGGCTAAGGCCGAACAGCCACTGGCTTTACTACGTTTTCATTCTGATGCTTTGCTAGAAGAGCTTGATCTTATGCTAATACACTGTTTGGAACTCAAGTGGGGCTTGCAGGGGTGAGAGCTATCAGTCAGTGGTGCTAATAGAGATCTATGACGAGTTATAGTGACTGCAGGTCTGGCCAGGTGGCAGTGATTAGCATAACTGCTGTTTCTAAATGGTGTCACTGTACAAAATAAGGCTGAAGTCAACAGACTGCCTTTAATCTTCACTTCCATATTTTTAATTTTCAGTTTCTCATGCCCTAACAGTACAAATGAAAGCAGAAGGTGTACAAGTAGCAGTTGCAAATAGTTTTCTTCATCCCCCTCCTGTCTGAAGGAGCTGCTCTGGGTAGATCTGTCGTATTTCCTGTCTGCATTAGTTCTCATGTCAGTCAGTGTGTATTTACAGGTGCTGGATCTGATAGAAGCATTCCTGACTAAGCAGTCAGAGAACCCCTTGGTGTTTGACATCATCGAGCCCCTGCTTCGGGTGATTGAACAGTGCATGAGCACAGACTCTGACAAGCAGGAGGCTGACTTCCTCAAGAAAACAGCCAATATCTTCAGGTAAGTGTCCTCAGTTCTCTGCATAACAGGCAATAGCTTTTGATAGACACCAGTGGTGTTGGTTAAATCCCAGAAATTGGTCTTTCTAAGACTGAAGACAATTACTGTACTTACAGATTGTGTAGAACCACACATGCACACAATGCTTAGTCATAACCTGCAGGAAATAAAGTAGGATTTGGGTTTTCTAGTCTAAGGGACTTTAAGTGTCAAACCTGTTTGCAGGTGGAAACCTTAAGAGCAAATACTGGTATTGCAGGTATTGTGCTATGTCACTGAACATCTCTACAGCTCTCTGACCTTCAAGTCGGACCATGCAACACCTCCCTAGGGTTACAGAGTTGCTGCTGTGGCTGGAATGAAACTCCCAACAAGTTTCAGGCAGAGTACACATTCTCTTTTCATGGTCAGAAGTGAGGCATGATACAAGATAGACAAAGACATAATGACTGGTGTGTGTCAGGATGCATCTTCTGTACACCACTCCCTGACATCCCCAGTGCTGCTCTACAGCATTTTCAGTGCTGCTCTCTGCCTTCTGAGAAGCAGTTCTGCAGTAACAGGGTTTGAGGAAGCCAGTTGCCTTTGTGGAGCTCTGGAGGAGAGTTGACTGTGATGCCTAAATAAGTGCTGGAAGGCAAAGAGCGGTAAGTCTCCTCACCCTTCTTGCCACAGCAGTGACTGCCTGTTTTGCTGCCCACAGCTAGCACCATTTCTGTTAATGTGTCACCCTGAGCCCAGTGATAAAGCTTCATAGCCATCTGTTCCCCAGAGCTCTTTCTGTAGGTGATGTCTTTGGGTTTGTTTTTACTGCTTTTCAGGAACTCCCTGTGCCGAATGAAGCAGTACTGCAAGAGAGTGGATGCCCTGCAAGAGGATTTGCATGCTTTTGTGGAGAGGCTTGTGAAGAAAGCCTCCAAGCACACTGACTCTTCAGTTGCTCTCTATTATTTCAGGTGACTGTCTAATCAGTGCTGTGGGTTGGCTGTAAGCAGGCATGGTATTACATGTTAAAGCAGTTCAGAGAAACAAGAGACTTGAAGTCTAGGTGCCAGCATCTGTGTCTTACATGAGGACTAGTCAATCATCCTGGCAGCCTGAAGCATTTTCAAACAGACGTCCATTGTTTTGGTGGTCATCTTCTGTGGGCTGTGTGATACAAAAGTGGTCTGGTACAGCTTTGCTAATAGTGATGGGAAGTGCTTCCTTGAGGCTTCATCGGGGAGCAATTGTGTGTGTGTGGATGAGAGCAATTTATAGTCCATCTGCAGTGATCGTTCTGTAAATACAGTGCTTTACTGTCACAGTGATAGCACAATGAGGACAATAATGATTATGATTCCTGTACGTACCAGTACTCACTCCTTTGCTGATGAACACAGGTGAACTAGGGTGAGCCGTGTGTGTGTGTTAGGAAACATGAGTTGTGCTGCTTCCTGGTGTAAATGGGAGTGCCGTTTACCGGTAGGCTTTCGTGTGACTTGCAGGCAGTTTCAGGGCTTTTGTACTCCATCTGGGATTTCTCAACACAACTGAGTATGCAGTGGGTACCATGTTGCATGGTCCACCCAGTGTCATTGGGCAGTGTTGGCTCTGCAGCACACTGGGCTTGTGGCTGTGCAGGAACCATGGTACTTCCAGGTATTGCAGAGCTGGCTGTGTGTGCTGCACAGCTCCCTGACAGCTTCCTGGCAGTGGTAGCCCTGAGTGGAGCTGTGCCCAGTTAATACAACCTTTCTCAAAAGCAGCAGGCTGGCTGCATACTCTCTCGGTTGATATGTCAGAGTTCTCCAGGCACACAGCAACCAGGGCTGAGAGGGCTGCACTGCAGCCCTGGCTGAGCTGTGCAGGCTTGGGAAGGCAGAAATCTTCAAGCACTACTAGTCAAAAACATGAGTTTGAAGAACCCAGCCTGATAGTGGAGGTGTCTGACTGTGGTGACAAATAATGAAATGATGCAGCCTCCTAAGATTTGCTTGTCTTTAGGTCTGGCAAGAGTAGGTTAGATTGAGAGAAGGGGCCCTCTCGGGCAATTTAATCCTCCTAGGTACAGGATAAACTGCCTGCATCATAGAATCATAGAATAGTTAGGGTTGGAAAGGACCATAAGATAATCTAGTTCCAACCCTTCTGCCATGGGCTTCTGCCCTCGGGTGGCTTTGCACAGTGACATTGTGACACTGGTAACTGCTGTTCTTCCCTTTTCTTTTTTAGTGCCTCTTTATACCTGCTCAAAGTGTTGAAAGGAAACACGTCTGATAAGTCGTCAACTCCTACCCCTCTGCCAGAGAAACAAAACAACAGCATCCCACAGGCTTCTCAGGTCAGACTGCAGCTGCTCTTGGGACAGGGGGGTTTACCAGTAAAGTTGCATTATCCCATTTCACTGAGTGGACTTTGCTTGTTCAGTCTCCTGTTTTGTGGCCTGCAGATACCTGTCTCCATGATTTGTTTTTCATGAAGCTGTTAAATTTCCCCATCCCTTTCTAGCCTATCGCCTCCTGTCTTTCAGTGCTTGCTTGCCATACGCAGCAGGGGCTGCTGCTGTGCAGTGGCTAACTGGAGAAGCCTGTTGTATATTTAATCTGCTCTCCTGGCTGATTTGCTATTTTCGTATTAACCTCTTGGCAGTCACTCTGAGTTCTTTTCTGGAAGGGTGCTGAGGAGCCGGGAGGCACAGGACAGTGGTGGATCAGGGGGAGCTACTTCTCTGAGGTTTGGGCTGAGTTATCTCAGAGTGAAGAAAGTGTGGAGCAGGCCTCATTTCAGTGATGATTGTTTGCAGGGACACTTTTCATCTGGTTGTGCTATGCATGTCTATTACTTGTGGAGGTTTACTGTGGGTCCTCCTTCGCCTACTCTGTCTGTTGAATTCCACAGGTGTCTGAATGTGGTGACCCTGTGTATTGGGAAGCTTAGTCCAGTCGCCTCCACTAGAAACTTAGCAAGTAGTGCTTCACCAGCCAGCCTCATACTTGCCTCTGAACCTCTCAAATTGCATTCAGGAAGTAGTGCCGTAATCCTGTTGACATTTTGGGGATGAGGGGGGAAATAAACAGGGCCACCTCATGTCGAGGGAGGGCCTGGAAATCACGAACACAGAGCTATTATTAGCAGCTGGAAAGATACTCGGTGTTTCTAAGGCTTAGTGAGACACTGAGTGTTAATCCAAGCAGCTTTTGTTCTAGGCTGGGCCTTTCTGGAAAGAAAAACAAAGTGGGAGATCTGTGGGGATTATAAACAACATACTTGACGTGGAAGTGAGGGTGAGACATGCTTCACAGCATCCTTGTGCAGCTTCCAGGGAAGGCTATTGCTCCTGTGGGAATAGACCTGTGGTCTTGAGTCAAGGGCACAGCCAGCAGCTGAAGGCAGTTGCTGGTTTGAGGGAAGTGACGTGGTTCAGTTTGTGTGATGCTGCTGGTGCTGACTTGGTGTTCAGGCTGGGAAGGTTTTGCAGTGGGGAACCAGAGACAAAAGTCTCATGTGTTTCCAGTGAGTAGTGCTTTGTGAGCATAATCTGGAGCTTTTCAGTAGCAGGAAAGTGGAACTAGAGCAGACCCTATCATGGAGTGGCCAAATCTACGGAAAAGCATGTTACTATAGAAGAAGTTTTTTACAATAAACATGGGAGGAGAAATCATTTTTCTTCCCCTGCAGATGTGTGTGTGAAAGAAGTGCGACGTACAGACACTTGGCTGGGAAACTGAGGACAGATACTTCAAGATCCATCTCCCCTGTCCACTCTAGCCTGTGTTCAGCTGCAGTAGCCCTGAATTTGTGGGAATTTGACCTGAGAATGGGACACAACCCTAACATGGCTTTAACTTGCTATGGAGCCATGGAAAAATTGCTTGGGCAGAGGTTAGCAAAAGGTCCATCCTCTATTGTGAAGATCACAGCTTTGACCTCCCAAAATGCAGTGCTTCCCTGGCAAGAGGAGAACAGTCAGGAATGTTGGGATGCGATGCTGCACGTTTCCCTCTCCATTCACCCCTGTGTTGGTAGTTTACATCCATAGCGTCTGTGCAGGTCTCAGCTGGTTGCTGCGTGTCTGGTTCCTTGTTCCCCACCAGAGGGCGATACTGGAGCACCTGCAGAGTTCTGGGGTTGCTGAATCCCTCATCAGAGCTAGGGCTTGTCTGCTGGGTACGCAGGAAACCTGGACATAGCTGCTAACTGTATGTAGACCTATATACCTACATACACTAACATCTGAAGATTCTGATAACCCTCCAGTTGGCAATGCCATGTGCACAGCACAGCTGCTGCAGGATGGGCTTTGAGTGCTCTGTGAACCTCATGTGTTAGAGTTGCCCAGCACAAACTTAGAAGTACACCCCTCACACTACATACAGTGTTTGTAGTCTTACTTCTTACTGAAGCTGTCCTGCCCTTCACTAACGCGGTCAAATGGCCATCAGTACTTGGGTGAACATGTTTGGGGTCCATTTTGTTGTGTCTTTATGGTTCTAAATGTTGTATCCTATAGGACTGTATCATGTTAGCTACCCAAGAATATCTGGTTGTTGGAAAAACCTTTGTGCACTGGTAGAAATGAATTTTTTCATTGCTAGTGATTCATCCTTGTATTTCACTTGAAACGTTTCTTGTTCTGCTTTTTCCTTATAGCTTTTGAGCACAGGTTGTTTGGATATGGAGAGGGTGACTGCAGTTTATCAGCAAGCACTGACACAATTCCTGAGTAAACGGAACAGTGCCCTTACAAGCTCCATGTTCCATGATCTCTTCACACGCTTCCCGGTGAGTGTTGCTGACTGTGTGGTGCATTGTCTGCTGGCTCCCAAGTCCAGTTGTAACTCAGGGGGAAGTAGGGAGAGAAACTTGCCCATTTTATTGTGGGCTTTTAAAACTGCTGTAAGGTTTCCTAGATCTGCCCCTGCTCAGACTGTTAATACTGTATGTTTTGATAACAACACTGCAGAAGGCCAGGATCTCACGTATGGTTTGGGCTGGGATACTGCATGGAGAATGTAGATGAACAGAAGTCTGCTCTTTAAATATAGCCTAAGAAGCTTTGATTTTTTTCACCAGTATTCAAGATAATGGGATGAGCAAGGTTTGCACAAGGCTGGACACGCTATTGCCGATCCAAGCCAGGATGCTGTTGGCCTTCTTGGCCACCTGGGCACAAGCTGGCTCATCTTCAGCTGGCTGTTGACCACCCTCCCCAGGTCCTTTCCTGCCAGGCAGCTTTCCAGCCTCTCTTCTCCAAGCCTTTGGTGGTCCATTAGGTAGTTGTGACCCAAGTGCAGGACCTGGCACTGAGCCTTGTTGAACCTCCAGCCTGTCCAGATCCCTCTGTTGATTCCAAGCAGATAAATACCTAGTGTCATCTGCAAATTTACTGAGGGTGCACTTGATCCCCTCATCCACGTCATTGCATCTCTTTTATAAAACAAAGGTAACAATATACACAAATCTTGGCCTATTTAAAGCTAGGCTTTGCTCGCTTGCTAGAGCTCTCTGTTCTTCTAGTAGGCTTTTGTTCCACCTCCCACCCCCCAAACCGTTTCAGGTTAATAACCATCTGCACAAGGTATCAGTGAACTGTGCAGCAAGCTGCTGTCTCTGCCTTGTCAGAGCCAGACCTTCCAGTGCCTGCTAGATGGTATTAGTGGTATTCCAGTAGGGTATTTACAATACAGATGCTTTCTCATTTCTTGTGCCCCTGAATTTGGGAGTATTTTGCCTGTAAGCATAGAAACTGGTGGATTAGGCCAGAATAGAGTTTCATCAAGCTTTGCTGACAATTACTACTCTAGAAAGGTTGGTTTGATCAAGACTTGTAGCAGAGCACAACTTTAAGGTAACCTGGAGGTCTCCAGGGAGGCCTTCCTCCTGACAGAGTTGCTTCTGGCCCTATTAACAAGTGTGTTCAGATCTTTCCCGAGGCTCTGATGTTCTCCAGTCTAACTCAGCATATTCTCCTTTGTCCCTCTGGGCAAAGTCTGAGGGACTGTTCGTCTGTGCAGAGTGAGCTGCCTGCATAAAGTATCAGGAAAATGCAGTATTAAATCCAGAATCGGGCAGAACACAGGAGGTGAAATCTTTGCCTGATATTTTTAAGCTCATAGTTCTGCTGCTGATTGTGTTGTGTTCAAGATTTCACTCAGGGCTGGTGTGAGGAAAGCTGTTAATTTTCAAATAAGCTGTTGCTGACCTCTGGGCACTTTTCTTTCTTGTGGCATTTCCTTCTTACTCAAGAAGTTGTGTAAAATATAGACTGTTTTGCTTGAAAACCAAACCTGTCTGCCAGCAAACCACTAATAAGAGATTGGGTCTTTCGTTACAGATCATGTGTAAGCCATTAGTAGATACTCTTGTCAAGTCTATCACAGCGGGAGCCAGGCAACATCAGCAGGTAAGAAGGAACGCAAACAAACAAAGCTGTATTAAACAGTCAATTGGAGAAGTCAATCACAGCAGCTCAGGTGATGCTTAATATGCTTAATGCTGCCTTTAGGGCTGCCCAATTTTGAGAAGTGGGCTTCCTGGGGGGAGAGCTTTTGCAAATACTGTCTTGCTGCTTCAGGTGTGTGGCTGAAGTTGTGGAAGTAGCTTATAGATTTGCAGTCGCAGGGGTTCTTTGGTAGCATCTCCTTTGAAACCTGCCTGCAGCTTTCAGGGTTGAGGCCTGATTGATAGCAGGGTTGCCTTCAGTCACTTATTCCTTTATTGCTTTCTTATGGATAAGAAGTTCCCCTGTATTAATGTAGTGCGTCATGCTCCTTGCCTCCTAATGCTAACTCAGGGTTAGCTTCTGGAGTCTGTTCTGCTCTTTGCCAGCTGTCCTGCACTTTTTAGGGCATGTGCTTCTGTGTCTAGTTTAAAACCACCTGTACTATAGATCTGATTTGTGACAGTTGAGTGCATGTGCCTGACTAACACAGAATTAGTGGAGCCTTATCAATAAAACATTGCAGGGTGAGTGCACAGCTCACTGTTACATGAGCAGAGAATGAGGCCTGTCTGGGTTTTCAGTGCAGTGGGGGGGCCTTCCACGTAGTTAATAACCAAAAGCCCTCTGGGCCAGTAGCACTGTGGCTCAGACTTTCCCACCCCCCAGCTGTAACATGCATCTGTCCCCTGCAGAAATGCATCCAAGGTTGACCTTTCAGTTTCATAAATAGCTGATTTATTGTTTCGAATCATTGGAGAGAATGTGAAGGGTTAGGTGTGTGTTTACAGTAAGGCTGCTTTATACTGTCAGTGTGAATTGCATTTCAGGGTCGTTCACCCAACAAGAATGGCTCTGATTTAAAGAAAAGAGTGAATTAAGCTATTTGTAAGTTCAGTGGATAGAAATAAGGATGTGTTACAGAAATAACAAACAAATTAATTGTAAGGCACATACTTGAACCTATCCTCAAGAGACCAGAACAGCATCCCAAGCAGGCAGCTTCATTCTGTGGCTATCTTTGCATCTCCACAGGGAATAGCGTTGTCCTTCTTTCAGGGTTTCCACAGTTATCTCCTCAAGCTTTGTTTCCATAGCGTGTTTATCTGTGGGTGGGAGGAGTAGGGGGAGGGATGTGCAGTGCACTGTGTGGGAGACTGGGTAGAGAACATGGATATACTGCTGTTTAAACAAAGGCAGCATGGGAGAGTAAGCTGTGTAAAGCCTGTTGAGTTTGGATTTGCAGCTTTGTGTTTTTTTGCACACTGCTTTCTTCTCAGGAATTCTGTCTTTATCTCATCAAATACCCAATTTTCCAGGTTTGCAGTTAAATATTCCCACTGGTTCTCAATGCACATGTGCTTCGGTGATATCTTAGAGGGTGGGGCAAATTTGGTGGGTGTATGTGTATGTGGGTGGCAAAGTGATGTTTTGTATAAAGCATATAACTCCTCTATTATAAGTTATAAAGGATAACTTCTCTGGAGTCTCTACAGCTTCTGGCAGCCTCTGGGGGAGTGAGGTGGAGAGGCTCGGCCACCGAAAGGGTTGTCCTAACTCAGACTCCTAAAGACACCAAAGGTCTGATACCTTCCATTTGGCCAGCCCCAGTAGTTAAGAGGCAAGTGGGGTAGTCTCCCATTTTCAGCTCTGGATAGTGGCTTCTAATTGTTAAACTAGCTTAATCCCAGAGACATGAGGCTTAATTCCCCTTCTAACATGCCTGTTATTAATGCTGATTGTTCTGGCTGTGCCTCCTGTGTTGGTATGACCAGCTAATCCTGCTGTGATTTTGACTTCTTGGTTCTGCTGATCCCTTTGGCAGGGAGTTCCCAGGGCCATGCTCTGCATGGGGAGGTGGAGGCTCACAGCTCTGGCCATGTGTCTTGTGTTGGCCTAGGAATGAGCTTGGGGCTCTGGCCCACCAGGGCTGGTGGCCACTATCACAGCTGGCCTGGGGGTCGCCCTTTCCATGGGGGCAGGAGGAGCAGATTCGCCTTCAGGTCAGGCTTTTAGGCAGTTTTGAACTAAAGGAAAAGTGGTTCATGAGGAGGATGTAAGAGGGGAGGATGTTCCTTCCTTACCTGAATACCTGGGTGTTTGTGACAGCAGCTTGGAGGGGTCTGTTCCAACTGTCCTCTTGGCCACCTGGTCCCTGCTCGTACTGCCTTGCGTGTCCTGCTCTTGCATGTCCTGCTCTTGCATGTCCTGCTCTTGCATGTCCTGCTCTTGCTGGGGCCTCTAGTGTAAAGTCAAACTTGATCGCTAAGTGATTGCCCTGGACTAGCCTGCTTGAGGTGATTTGTTTCCCTGTGTGCTCTGTAAGCCACAGAGTGTAGAGCAAGACCTGGACCTGCCTGGGCTCTTGTCAGGAAGCAGCAAACCTGAAGCGTGTGTGAAATGTTGTTCCTGTGCCTTCTGTTGTGAGCTGCTGCAAGTCTACTGAACTTAATTTCTGGGCAGTTGCAACTGAGAGAGGATCCTCAAGGAAATGCAGGAGCTGTTCAAATGCTGCTCATCTGGCACTGGCTTGGGGAGGAGCAGTATGGCCTCTCCAACCCCAGCCCTTTGTCCTGACCCTGGGGACCTCACTGTCTGTCTGGTGCCCAAGTGTCTGTGCAGTTATGTCACAAAATGGGCATGAGGATGATTTGGCTGAAAACTTATCCTCCCCTTGCACACATACTTCTTTCCTCACCTTTCCCCCTTTTGCTGTGCTAAAATAATGAACTTTGATCAATTCACTGGTGGTGTTCATGGCACAGGGACAGTGAGTTCAGGGGCAGGAGTGGCTGGGTGAAAGCTCAGATTTGTTTCACCATATAGCAGCATGCATTTAACATGAAATTATGGCTCCTGTAAAGTGAATACGAGAATGCTGGAAAGCAGTTTGTCTGTGTGGAGTGTTGGCTGTGGCTGATGACTTGGGCAACTGGGTCTTGCAAATGCTGCAGCCTTTCTGTGCATCCTGTCTCAGTTACCTCTAAAACCCAGAGATCATCTAACCCTCATCAGCAGTGCTGTGTCTGTAAAGACAAAGGTGTGTGTAGTCATGGAACGGGTGTTACATGCCTTTCTGGGAGGTGCATTTCTTTGGCCTTTGTGATTGCTGTAGAGAGAGGTCTTCTGAAGGTACCCAAAGGCAGGTGTAACAGAGGGTGCCTCGATTCAACGCTTAGTAGAAAAGAAGGAAGCTTTAGTACAAAAACTTTAGGTAGTGTGACAGACATCAAGTCAGCCCTTTTCCTCTGACGCTATTTCTGCATGCCTAAGGCAGTGGTAAGTTTTTTTTTCACCTCCACGTTGAAGCCATCTGTGAGATAAAATGAACAGCACGTTGTGGGGTGAGAGTTCTTAAGGTAGTTTTAAACCTGGCTGACAGTGGTTGGGTTGGTAGAAGTAAGCTCAACCTGTATAACAAGTTTTAAACTGGAAAGGTGAATTTGCAATGGTCCTATTGAGACTGAACTTGAAACTGAAGCTTGTACATGGGGCTAAGTTCTGTTCCTGTGATGTTAACTCGTGGAGTGTGGATGCCTGCAGGAAACAGTAATGCAGCAGTTTCCCTGGAAAAGGAAAGAGCTAGAGAGGTTGGTGTCGTTTGTGAGAGAGGGAACAAAGGGCAAGGGATGTTTGACCAAGGAAGGGGGGTTGTCATCCCACCCTGAATTCACTTAGTGCCTGTTTCAACCTATACATCAGAAAGATGCAAGATGAAGATCTGTGTGACAATGGATCTGCAAAATCACCTTGTTTCAGGCAGCTCATGCATCTGAGCTGGACTTTTCCCCATTTGTGAGACCACACTGGCTGCAGGATGCTGAGAGTCATCTGCTGCCTGCTCAAATGCACTGTGACTCTGGCAGCAGGTACTTTGGATGCTCAGTGTTACCTGTTGGCTGGCCTATTTTTCACTCTCTACGTTGAAGTGTGGAGCTAAAGATGACTGCTGTCCCAGTGGTGCCTCTGTGTGCAAGTCAAAATGCTTCAGGCTTGGAAAGAATGAAAACACTGATGTTTGGATGTCTTTCATTTATTGAACTGAGAAGTCTGGTGGGTTTTGCTGTGGTGTTTGTTTTGTTTTTTCTTTTTGTTACTACAGTAGCAGTTGGGATCTATTTCCTAAACTCTTGTTGCTCCTTGCTTTTCCATGTGTCTAAGTTAAACCAACGTATAACTTAAAGCTGCGCTGTGTTCTCAGAATATGGCCTTCCTCATGCCTGTGATGTGTTCTTGCACTGTTGTCCACTGTAAAAATGAATAGTAACTATATGAAATAACTAGATTGTAAGCAGCCACTGTGAAGCTTCTCAAGAGGACTTTTAGTGTGTGAGAAGCGTTACAAGTTAAAGTAAAAAAAGAAAGTGGTAAAGAATGAATTTTTGGAGCTTTTGTTACACCTTTGAGCTGATCCAGTGCCGATGAATTGTGTTAAGCTTCTGGCACAGATGATCTCGTTGGCAGTGCAGAGCCTTGCAGTTAGCCAAGCAGAATTGTGTGTGGTGCTAATGGGGCGGGGGGAGGCTTGTGCTGTTTCATTGAATAAGGATGTTGCTGTCAGTGTGATGTCTTTCACAAGCACTAAACATATTCTCTCATATTCTGTTTAGAGAAAAAAATGGTGTTTGAGCTTGTTCTTGCTTCCTCCTTTCTTAATGCAGTTTGATCTTACTACTGCAGGTGTTTTCTAGGATACTTTGACCTTCAAATTACTTCCTTGTGCCTTGTTTCAGTGGGTGCAGTGTTGCTTTTTCCATATGCCGAATAAGGCTTGGGTTTTTGGCTTGTGCTGATGGAGTGTAAACCACAGATCAAGGTGTGTTTAATTTAATGATTGTTGCATGACTCAGCTACATACCAGAACCCTCCTGAGCCTCAGGTGAGGAATGTCTTCCTGCTTTATTTTTAGCAGCATCAGTATGATGAGCATAGCTACAGTAACATCTAGTTCTGTGATTGTGCAG